AAACAAGATTAATTAATAACTGAAATTTTGTCAGTATTGATATAAAGACCCATAATTAAAATAATATAATAAGGAATAAATTAATACGTCAATTGCTAAAATAAAAATTTGTCATTAAAATGAAATAATTTATTCAAGTAAACATCAAAGATTAAATAAAGGTCAAATAAAAATTTAATCAACAGACATCGAAATGTAAATGGTTTCATTAATCTATACGACGTCAGTCACGACAGAAAACCGGACAGAAACTTTAGGATTTGCAGATTAAATCATCCCGGAAGATCGCTGTCAATTGTTTCGAGAGCCAAAGGGCTATTTTGTTTGTCCTTTTTTATGTTACATATTCGTTACTGTGTAGTGCACTACGGTATGAAAGGCCGATCGGGGTTGGCCTCGGGGCGGTGAAAACGTTCCATGCGAATTATACGTTCGTACATCCTGTGTTTTCTTTCATTTCTTCGGCCAATTTCCATTTGCGTCTAATTGAAAGCATTCAAATAAACAGAACCGATGGTACGAGCTATGATTGTGAAAATTTCATCTCGCTCGCTTTTGACCGAGCTCATGTCAGAATCCACGAGATTGCACGTCCCGCATTTCTCCTTTTTTACACTCGACTATTTGGCCGCGAACGTGATCAAAGCTAATACGGGCTGACGTTTGTTTCTGTCGTTTGGACCGTTAAGTTATTCTTCACGAGATTACATCGATAGGAGACGCCGCAAACAACGGAGGTAATATATTCGCCTTGGCGATTATGCGCCAGAGGGTGAGAAATAAATTGCGAGCCGGAAGGGCACACGGAATGCATGTACGAATGGCGTGACTGGAAAAATGATTGGAGGCGATTTCACGCGTTTTAACAAGACGTACCGTGATCGATGCTACGGTAGATAGTGTCGAACTCGACCGTTTAGATCGGAAATAGTTCTTGGTGGCGACGTCAAATCTAGAAATACTGTGATGTTCCACGAGGGAGAAACGATTGGTCAATCAAATAAGGAAGTGATTCACTTCCTTATTTGATTGACCAATTTCGCTTTATATATCTTTCTTACAATCAAATTGCGCTTCACATGTACATAAAAAATTTGCTTCGCCCAAATTTGCATATCTTAAATGGAATGTAATGGAAATAAGGAAAGAAAATGAAGAAAGATAATCACAAAATGTATAGTATATAATAAAAAATGAAAGATTCATTTATTCTTAAATAAATCAATAAAAATGTGAATAAAGACTCATATAAATTAATATAAATGTTTCAGCTATAATTCTTAAAAAGAAAAGTCAATAAACAATCGTAAAGTTAATAATATCTATAAATTAGAATAAGTATAATGCAGAAAAAGAATAATTTTGCTAAAGTATTTAAAAGTTATCTAATACAGATCTGAAAATAATTTTATTTAATTACAAAAATATAATTATGTAGTTAGTCTGTTAGAATTTTTTGCAGCATTTCATCAATATTCTATAATGCTCGAAATATTTTGATTATTCAACAAAATTATTTTTAAATCTAAATTTTTAGATACTTAAAATCTTCTTTTTTGTATTAGTATATAATATGAATGAATCTAATAAAAATATAATATAATGTCCGATCTCTCCTTGTTACATTTTTATTGTCAATAAATTAAAATTGGAATGATAACTTCTTGATTATCTTAGGTATAAAAATAAAAACCTATAAAAATGCAATCATTTTCATTAAGTATTCCAATATTCATAGCGCTATTTCTACCAGGGCGGTTTCAATAACCTACATTTTCTGGCAACTCACTCTGTATAATTCAAGTTTTATCCTATACAAACCGAATCACCTCTAAATCGTTCACGCCAATAGCACGTATAATAGAAACGGAATTTTTCCCTCGGAAAGAAACGGAACACTACACTGACATCACCAAATTCTAACATCGAGGCAAGCAATTTATACAAAAGCATTTGTCATCTCAATAATTTTCTCTTATCTATGAAACAGCACGAAAAGAAAGTTTCTTGTTTTTTCCTTTTTAAGCACTCGTACACGAAGACTTTGCAGCGATTTGGTAGAGTTCTTAAAGAGTAGAAAAGTCGACTGACTCAAGCAGTATTAAAGGGCGTTATTTCGCTTTTGCTCGTTATATTCGCCAAATGTTAAACATTAGCTTGCGAGATGATAAAATTGTAGTTCAGACAGTTTGTGTAAATCCTCGATACATAGGAGTTTATTGACAATCCAGAAATTCTTCATTTTATTGAATCATCATCAGCAACTGATGATGATTCAATATACTTCGATCGAATGTATACAGTAAACAAAATTTGTATTTGTATTAAAACCGGTCCTTATTAAAATTTTCATGTTAAATTTTTAATATATCAGAATATTAATTTAACATAATATGATTGTGTTATTTGAACATTTTATGTCGAACTGATATGCAGAAATACAAGAGTCATGAGAAAGTATTCAACATATATTAGTGTTAAAATGACATTTTTATGAATAAATGACCAATTAATATAAAAATAATATTTTTTAAAATATAAATTCTATGATGAATAAAATATGTTAATATAATGTTATATAAATGTTAAGTTTATTGAAACATATTAATTTAACATATTACAATGTTAATTTTAATTAGAAGATATATTATTTCTTATAAAATGTATCAATGTCACGTTTTTTGTATTAATTTTTGTACATAATATTTGTGTTATTTTTTAACATGTTTATCTTGTGTTAATATAAAAATTCGGGACATGTGTTAAATTTAACACAAATTTTTCAACTGTACAAATTGTTTCAGTATTATATTTTTATTTGTTAATTTATTATATTAATTTTTAATAAACATCATATTTTACATATTTATGTTACTTTTTAATATAGGTTCTTTTTCTTTTAGGAATTACAGTCGACACAATTAATGTCATTCAGTCTTTATTATTCATTGTATGCTTAGAGGGATAGAACGGCGTTTATATCAACTGTGTTTCCTAAAGAAAAAAATCTATATTTCTGTCGTGTTGAATTAATACAAAGTTTAGAGCACATGAAATGTGTCAAATTTAACATAAATTTTCTACTAACTGTGCGAGTCAGTCCTTTCCAAGATCTCCTCGTGGTAGAAAAAAATTTTCGAATTTTTCTTATACTTTTCGCTTTTCAATACTTCGAACGAATCATTCGACAATACCGCACGCGTCTATATACCATTCAAAATGCCGGAAATCATCTTTGAATTCGAAGCTACAATTTCAAGTTGTCGCCGTCGAGGGTCAAGACGATTTCTATGCATTTGCCTCATGTGACACAACTTGCATAATCGATCCGAGCATCTAAGATCCTACGTTTTATCAAAACGGTTGGCAAATCGCCCGGCTGCCGATCGGCGTTCGTAATAAATGGCGTTCGATTTCGGGTCGGAAACGGCCCGTTCAGATTCGACAGTCGTCTGCGAATACTCATGGCTGTCGAAGGTAACGTCACAATAGTTCAATCAGTCCGGAAGATGGTATGCCGGTACGTCGCGTCGCGACTATTTCGATATTCGACGCGCGGCGGTCTTAAGTTAACGTGATTTCGGTTTCGAACGGCTCCATTCAACGGCGCTTCCGGTTCTCGGTCCAGAAGAAGATCACAAACGGCGTTTTCCGGGCGTGATGTCGTGCGAAAGGCGTCAGCCTTTCAGACATGGAATGCAAAACAGAACAATAAAAGAGATACAATCGTTGAACTGAAACGTACTTTGGATTCGTCTTCGAATGGATTCGGAACGGATAATGCGCTTTCCGTGATCGCGAATGTTGATATTCACAATTTCATGTTATTACGACCACGTTTACAGGATTTTATGAGAATCGTAAATTGACAAATTGCATATAGCGAATGGAGATTATAGGAGAATTGCAATAGATATTTGCAAAATTATCGGATAATCGCTTTGCGGCGCATTTCAATAAAAAAAAGCATTAGTGATTTTCAATCTGTTTTCATCCCGTGGATGTCGTATATCTCCGCAAAGTCAATTTAAAATTTATAGTCACGTTTATTTCCGAACGAGGGACAAGTGGACAATAATTCTCGAAACTCACGAACGAAATCCCACATCAATCTTTCACGACGATAAAGAAATTTAATTATGTGTAACAGAAAACGTATGTTTTATCCACACGTTTTGTTACATTGCACTGCTTAAACTTTCATGACGAGCAGGGAGTATCGAAAAACTCACGTCCGTAAAATCAATCACGGAACGAAGAGAAAAAATTTCACGAGACACGGCTGTCGTCCAAATAGATCGCGCCCGTCACTTATTAAATCGCTCGATCGACTTCTCGAGGCAGGAAATAATTAGGAAATAGGCCTCTTCGTTGAATTCCGGTTTTCCCATCCGACCGTCGCTATTGTTCCAAGGGCGTACCGTTGAATTATTTCTATGAGATTTTTCGCGTATTGTCACCACGCCAGTTGACCCACATACCATGGATGCGCGAAGGACGGACGGTTATTTAAAAGCCTTCGATTACCGCCGCATATTCCGATAAAAATACCTGCGATCCTGTCGTACTTCTATTTTCAAGCTCCACCCGAAAGAGTAAATCACGTCAAGGGAATGACAGGTAACCCCGGGCAAACGGTGACTGACAGCACATGACGGGAAAGCGAATGTTTTTTTTGTTGTTATTTTTTATTTTAATTTTTTTTTTATTTCGGTATGCGCGCTGGCGCGTCTGGTTGATTTAAGCGTGATTTTTTTCTGGAATTGGGACAAAGAGCATAGATATAATGTCTACGCACACATATCATTTCTTTTTTTTTTTTAGAAAAAGAGAAAGAGAAAAGAGAGCAGGTATATATATCGCTCTAACTCGATCGACGTAATCCGGCACGACTACCGCGGGCATCATTTATTCTAACGATAATGAAAAATGAAAAAAAAAAAACACGACAAATAAAACTGCACAGCGTATTACTGACTGGGATTACGATCTGTTTGCAGGAGGAAAATACGATCCAGTGCTGAAAGATAACGCGTACAAAATACACATGAGGCTGACGATAAACTCCGTCAGTCCAACGGATTACGGGTCGTATAAATGTGTGTCTAGGAACTCGTTGGGCGATACTGACGGCAGCATTAAGGTCTATCGTAAGTATATAACTATGACATCTCGGCTCTGAAATTTTTTCTCGCTGCACCATGTATTAATGACCTCGCGTAATAGCCGTTGTCTCATAGAACTAATACGTCGCGCCGCGCCAGGGAATTCCGTAGAATAAATTGTAGTAAAATTGCATTGTTCACCGTTATGCGAGATACTTCGCGAGGCGTACTTCGGATTCGACAAAACACGGCGGTGCCGTGTGGCTCACTCGCGTGCTGGCTGCAGCTTATTAAGCAGCAGCTGCGTTAAAATAGTTGGAATTTTTACTGAGACAGCGACTGAAATCCCAAAGGAGGCAAGGCCAAGACCTTATATTCTTAAAAAGCGCCTGCGCGCTTATGAATAAAACAATATTTCGCAAAAATATTCTCTGACGGCCGTGTGCGCGAGAGGACGAAGATCTCGATTCGGAATCACGGGAAAAGTTTGTCGGACTTCAACATTTCGCGTTGTACTTAGAGTCGCAAGTAATATTCGCTAAAGTGCGCGAATCGCCCGGATCCTGAAAATAGACGAGGTATATTTGCAACCCGTGGAAATTGTTTATATCCGTAAAGTGAAAGATAACAAGGAGTCAGAACCTCCGCGAGTTAGGGCAGCATATAAACAAAGTCGCGAGTTAGGAAGTGTGACTTGAAAAGACTATCGCGCCTTATTGCTCGCCTCGTTATTTCTTAGCTACTGCCGCCGGGCCTTATCGAGTCCTCTTTCCAAAGATCTACGCGGCTCGAGAGATTCTTCAGCTTACGCTTTAAATATCTGACATCTGACTTTGAAGTACACGATGTCAGTGTCGTTTGAATAATATTGAATGCTGTTATTTACTTTTCAGCAATATCGGGCTCCAATTCCAGCATCACCAAGTACAAAGGTAAGTAGCATTTTCTACTTATACAATTGTCCGAAAGAGAGTAAGTCTTGTTTTTAACATAAAGAATAATTTTTCGTGCAACGAAATTAGTGTGCAAGATTTTGTAGTATCAAGTATAAAAAGAGTAAAATGTAAATGTAAAATTACATAAATAATCTATATAAAAATTACGCAGTTTATAGTGGAAGTACATAAAATTGTGCATTTTTACAAAAATTGGTATTTTTATTTATAAAACTCGAGGTACATTAATTAATGCGATTTTTCGTGCTAGATTGCACGCGATTTAGTAAATTACTAGAATTGCACCACACAGAACGCAGAATTTCTAGTTTAGTAATTTACGTCGCATGCGATCTAGCATGAAAAATTGCATTGTGTACCTTTGGTTTAATTGTGTAAGTGTATCTTTATTTATATTAGACGGAAAATAGCAATATAATAATTTAGTATATTTTATATTTTTTGTGTAATTGTTGTAATATTGTGTATAATGTAATAGTAATATTATATATTTTTACATTCGTATATATCGATATATTAGTTGCGATTTATATTCTTAACGCTCATAAGCATCATTTGTTTTTCTTTAATTTTGATAAACAACAAGGATGAAATGATTCCATAAGTGTGAACATGAATGTGACCGCATCATTATACATATATAATATTTAAAAAAAATTGTACGTAATTTATTAGCGAATCATTATGTAAATATTTCTATAAATTTAATTTTAATTGTAAACTTACTTTTGCAAATTGTTTAATTATTTAATTATAAAAAAACAATAATTATATTTATAAGTTGCAACTTTATTTACGTGTGTAAATATACAACTTTAATAGTGACATTCAAAATTATCTGCTATAATTTATAATTTGTAATTTTACATGGAACTTTTTACAGTGTATATTATAATACAATATCGTAAAGTATTTTTACAAAAATTACACGCATCTGCTATATCAGAAATTTTGCACTAATGAGGGGAAACCCTTTCGAATAAAGAGATGAAGGGACTCGCGACTTAATTTCGAAATTGCTTTATGAATTTCAATGGAAGGACTTCGTAGAGATACTAAGCCATTAATTAATTAACCGCTTCATTTCAATTTCGTTGCACGAAATATAAATCGATCGTCCGCTCTTACTGCTCGCTTTGTATTGAGAGGTACTTTTTGAATGATGAAGCGCAGTGTACTTGTGGCGGACGAACGGGTCGCTGATTAATTAGATCGAGTAGCCAGTTTGTGCGATCGGATCCGTGCATCGTGTTCTCTGTTTGAGTTGAACCACAGAAATAAATTTTTCGAAATTATATATTGAACATTGTGCTTGTGTACAATCTTTTACAAAGATTATTATCCAAATATTCAACATCAATTTATTTTTTTTTTTATGTAAATATCTAAGAGATTTTTTTATTTTAAATTGCAGAGATACAAATCTAAGAGATTTTTATATTTTGTACATATATAGTTTTTTATACGTGCCCTTTAAATTTCAAATTTAAAGGATAAAATATTTTTTAAAAGTGCATCGAAAAAACTATTTTAGACTATTTTAATATTTATTTGCTTTTTATCGAATTAAATAATAATAAGTTTTGCGAAAATTGATTGGAAACTGAGGAATTTTATAAAAAAAAAGAATAATAAATAAAAATTTTATTATTGCGCAATTTAATTTTATAATAAAAATTGAATAAATTTTATTCTAACATTTTTCGATACAATATATAGTTTCGGAGATTTTACCGAGAAAGGATTTTCATAAAACTTTTTAAAGGTGTTTTATCTCTTGAGATATCTTTTTTGAGATTGAATAAGTATAAAAAAATGTGTTTCTTATATTTTATAATATTTAACACGTTTCAGCGTGAATCACCGATAATTGACGCGATACGTTAGTCATCAATGATTCGCTGGACTTTCAGACCGTTTGATATTGTAGTTATAAGAAGAAATGTAATTAAGTAATTTTTGATATTATACATGGGCATATAATTATAATATATATAATTATAATATAGTATATATTATAATAATGATATTATAATAATGATATGTTAAACTATTCTTTTTTAACTATTAATAATAACTTCTAATAAATCGTTTATTATTGTTAATAATAATAATTGTTTTTAACCATTATGAAATATAAGTTATTTAACAAATATAACAAAAACAAAGATACTATGATGCATGCCTATGCAGTCATTTATAATCGGACGCTCAGTCATTTACAATCACTTAAAATTGGCGCGATATGAAATATATTAATAAATCTTATTAACACAGTCCATGCTGCGCGAATTTTGGAAAGATGTTATGATAAATTTTTTTTAAGAAAAAATCGTGTAGGACACTTGAATAATATTCCTTGTTAGTATTGTTTTCGAAATATTCTTTCATAAGAAATGAGTAAGTTTATATTTTTTTATCAACTTCGAGAATATGTGTTTTGTAAATAATATTTCCCATGACACTGCCAAATATACATGAGTAAGCATTAAGCAGACTAAAATATATTTTCGAGGATACAATCTAATAATTCTGAATGCAATGCAAACGCTTATTATTTTCCGGTACGCTCTCAAACATCGCCGCGATTCTAGGAATGTAATTTCTATTAACAATATCGTAATGGGAAGCATGTACACGAACCACCGCAGAGAACGCAATTCAAAAGCGGCACGTTTGCGCGAATCTGTGTCACCCGCGCTTGTTAAGGCATTTCAAGTTTTCCACCCGACCAACTTCGAGCTTCTCCAGCGTCGAGCGCGGAGACTTTAAGAGAGAGGTCGACACTATTTCAGCATGAAATCGCGGATGAATAGAAGTCATCGTGTCGGATTTCGCGAACCGACCAGCCGACCAGACGACCATTTGCATCTCTACAGATCGTTGTTGCGAGCAGGGCCACATTAATCCATTTTGCGCCCCTTGCACATACGAAATATTTTGAGCGTTCTTTTAAAATGTAATGCCACCTAGGTAAATTTTTTTAGTAATTATATTAGATTAATTAAAAAATTAATTTTTTCAAGATTTTTAAAAAATATTTTATTTATTCGAAGGATAAAAATAGCAAAAAAACATACAAGACAAGATTTGTTACACAAGTTAATAAAATAATAAGTATATTTCCCACAATAAGAACAGAAAGCACATTTAATCTTTCTTTATGCGCTATACATTGCGCTTCACTATGAATTATCTTGTTTAGTAATTTTAAATCATCTGTGAACATTATTTTAATGCTTAAAAAAATTCTTTCAAAAATTTGTTGCCTTAAAATTTGTCACCTTGGGCTAGCCGATGTACAGCACTAGTCACGAGAGAAATACGCACAAAAAGTCCGCATCGAGCTTCATGCAAGCTTGATGCAGAATGTACAGAGGTTCGCGCGCATATATCTACGATAGCGGAGATAGACGTTCAGAGAAACGACTTTTTAAAGAGACTCGGATGAATAACGTTTCGGCTCCTACACCTATCGCGCCAACCTGCTTTTCATCGCAATAGAAAAAGGGCAAAACCAAAGTTCTCCCCGCAAAGGGACCGCCTCTCCACCTTCGGCTTTCCTCTTGCACGTCGCGTTAACGTCTTGAGGTTGTGCGTAACATACTTTTCCCTAAGTAACCTGGCGCATATCCGTTAGAGAAATAAAAGTTCCTTGGAAAAAGAATATTCAACATCGGGAAGATTAAAAAAAAGAGGTACTTTGGAAAGTTGCGGTTTTAGCAGCTTATACACACACACACACACACACACACACACACACACATACACGCGCGCGCACACACACGCACACTCACACACTCACACACACACACATATATATATCTCTTATTATATATCTCTTATTTTATATGGAAAAATATATATTTTTTAAGATTTTAAGAATATATTACATATATTACATATTTTTTTTAACATAAAGAGTTATGAAAAAATTACAGAGTTTTCTATATTGTATTTGAAAGTAATACAAAAATTAGACGGCTATTTAGAACTTGGATCTTGCATTTCAATAAGCAGTAGACATATTTTAAAAAAAATAATCAAAATAAAATAAGGAAATTTTCATTTAAATTATAAAATTGTATTATTAAATATAAATATATAATGTTGATCTTATAGAACTGTTTCCAATGTATATTTTTGTGGAAAGTATAAATTTTCAATTCCAGTTAACTTTTTGCAGAGATTATATATACCTGACCCTTAAAAATTACAACTGCTCTAACATGATAAAAATATGTTGGGCATGTTTAAAAATTGATGGTAAAATATTCGATCTCGTCGCTTAAATTTCCTAATAATATCGTACATTTATTTAATATAAAATATTTAATATGATAATGGATATAATATTACTGAATTTATTTTTAGTGTGCAAATGAGTATTGAAAGGGACAAAATGGCGGGCAGAGACGTTTAGACTTTAGAGTACCAATTCGCGAAAGACTCTCTTCTCTCTCAATGCGGTATTTCGAGTACGCTGATGTATTCAAAGAGATAATAATACAGGAAGAGCTTTGTGGAACAATACATCGGCCCCTCAAAGGAGATGGTAAATTACATGTCAGTGCGCCGTGCCGTACCGTGCTTCACTGTATTTCGTTGTGCTCTGCCCGAGTATTAACTAAGCGCACGTAAAGTATTTTGTTATCTACATTGGGCTTTTTCTCTTTCCGCTGCAAAATGTATTCATCGTCGAAACATTGCACAAAGGAACAATATACCAGTCTATATTTTTGCAAACTTCCAATCCTGTTTTAAGCTCTCATAAATCGAATGTTTTAAATATATTGTATGTTGCAAATAATTACACTGCATCGTAAGGATTCTTAATGAGGATTCTCAAAAAGAATATAAGGTTAAATTCCATCACTCACATATTTTAAGAAATCAAGGACTCTATTTTTGAAAAAATTTTAGAAATCTGAATTTCTTTTGACAATTTCTTTTCTTTTATTTTACGGAGTACAATACATAAGAATCACTATTCGAGTATTGAAAAACAGAAACTTTCTAAATTAGTGTAATTTTTTTGTATTAAATATCGCTCATAAATTTTGTTATCTTAATATATTATTTAAAACATAAACAATAAAAAAGGCTTCACATCATTCACTTTCGTACATTGTAAAAAAATATTTAAATTTTTTATAGCTATATATTATCATCATATATTATAAATTTGCGTTATTATATAAGAAATTCTCAAAATGAAGATTTAAAAAAAATAAAATGATGAAATTTTTTGAAAATCCATTCTCTAAATCAGTATAAAAAGCTCTACAAGAAATATCCGGTTATACTTGTTGAGAAACAAAAAATTGATAAAAATTTGTTGCACTGTATTACCAGTTATCAGTTTCGGTGATTATGACTGGAAAAACTGTAAGGATATAAAAATGTTTATTCGACGTGATTGAGACGTTGTTATGCGTCTTCTCTCTATCGTACTGTTATAATGTAATATAACTGCCGCGTATGCGTACTATATCAGGATGAAAAACGTCGATATAAAACTCAGTCTTTGAAGCACGTGCTTTAAGGCACTCTCGTCAGTCGCGATATAGTTCCAAGGCGCTTGAGAGTCTTCTCTCGCTCCTTTAATGGTTCATTTCGCAACGGGAAAACTTTAAACATCTCGCCCCGTCTTCGCTTTATGGCTAATCGATGTTTTTACGGCCACACGGACTCCTCTCGGTCGCAGAATACGATTTCATCGCGAGTCTTTATGCAGTCGCCGCAACGCGACGTGCAAGATAATGGGATATAAACGCGATATATAAACACGAATTAATTCGGCATATTATACGTAGCGACTAACGCCTTTTCATAAATCAGTTCATTACAATTTTTATTATCTTTATAATTAAAAAGCTAAAAAAAAAATGTCTGTAAGAACAAACGTAGTTATCCATGTGTGAATTTATTTACAATCATTTATATAATATATTGGAACAATTGTATCATAGATTTCATCCTGATTTGATTCCTCTTCTTATGGTGCTTATTATACTTACATAAGAAAAATTACTAAATATAGGATTTTTTATTTATATATACTTACATAAAAGTTACTAAGTATAGGATTTTTTATTCATATAATCAAAAAGTAAAAAATTGAATTGAATTAAAAATGAGAAAGGCTCAATTGTTAAAAATTCATTAAAGTTAAAACTGCAAAATTTAAATTAACAATTAAATTAAGAAGCTTATATGAATAAATGAAAAATTGTATCTTAATAAGATTCAGCTTTATGGCAAATAGAGAGCTAGTTACAAACAATATTCTTTCCACACTGTTAGATATTAATCAAACACTAGTAATTCAATCTCTTGAGTTAAATAGCGTTTATCATTTTTAATTTCTATGTATATCAAAATGTGAATCAATTCATTTCTACGATTAAAAAGTAAATAACATCCATATTAACATATGTACATAATAAATTAATCAAATTTAATACATTTTCTGGAGTTAAAACTCAATTGTTTTAGTTAAATCAACAGTTTACAACAATTAAGTAGAAGCAGTAACGATTTATATACTTTAAAAAATATCAATGAAGATTCATGGAATCTATATGATTCTCACTGTGTTAATATTAATATTGACATCAGCATGATGTAAATTTAACACTATGGATTTTAAATCTATACCATAATAATATCTATACCATGATAATGTTGATATAAACGTTAGAAGTTATAAATACCGTGTTGACATTTATACAACATCGTATTAGTATAATATTAGCTCTAATGCGAGAATTATATAGACTACCTGGTATTAAATCCACATCGATATTTTTAAAAGTGTAGAAATGATTAAAAATAACTCATCTTGGATATAATTTGACATTATGAATTTAACAATGCACGCTGTTTAAAAAGATCTAGGTAGTATCTTCACTTACACAAACACTCCAAATGTATTTCCATCCATTCAATAATGCTGAAGCAATATTTTTGGACCAATGTACGATTACATAACCATACATAGAAATCACGATAATTAGTAGTATGAAGGGCGCGTGTTGCCGGCAATAAATAATCGGAGTACGAAATGATGTCAGCACGAGCTGCCTCGCAAAAGGTAACTTGCTTTCATATTTCATCGAGTATCTTCCGCGCCATCATAATGAAAAATCCGGGATTTATTATTGACCCGTCTTCGGCGCGACTTCCCGTTCGCCCGGCGACCGGAAATCGATATATGCAAAATATTTTGATGCCAACAGATTGGGAGGCGACATTACGTTACACGCACGAGAGAAGATTTATTAGAGAGACCGGGTTTCAATGCCCTGGATCAATTTTATTGAACTCTTTCTACTTCGCCACATGCGCTTAAATATATACATACCTCGATGCGGGCGAACATAGTTAAATGTGCGAAACAGTGTAAATACTATTCCTGGTGATAATGGAAAATTGAAATAGTATTATCGATGTTTCTGTTAAGGGTAAAGCGGATTTGGCATGTCCAGTTAGTAACTTTTAATAGGATTTGTTTTATTTTTATCTTCCACATGTCAGAGTAGTTAATGTATCTACCACGTTTTCTTGGGGCGAAAATATGAGACACGTGGATAAAGCCACGGGTCAATTATCCGGCGCACGCGAAAGTAACGACGCGACGTCTTTGAAACTTCGTGCAACTTAACAACGTGGAAGTAAACACGTTGGTCATATCATAAGCCCTTTCACAATCTGCGCCAAGCTTGCTTTATCGAGTACCAACGGTCTCGTTCCCACTTGTTCTTCTCATTACTTGAGAAAACACACAGTCCAAGCTGCATTTTTCATGGAGACAAACGAACTAGCGATCTCCTACCGTGAGCAAAACGTTAGATCGCTTTTTCAATAGCGACAAGAGCATCCATCGCTCTTTTTTCCTTGTTTTTTTTTATATCGTTATTTAGCTTTAAACTCGCCGCAATTCTGTGCAAAGGACAAAAATTTGACCGTATTTTTTATAGAGAGGAATAAACTCTCGGGGGCATTTTTTATTCATGAAAGATAGCAGGATTACCACTATCCGATATATCACTGCGTTGGTAGAAAAATGATTTCGAAATTAACAATTTTTCATTAGAATATTTTTAAAATTTTAAATTGAAACAGCTTAATTTAGATAGTGAATATGCAGTCTCTATAATTTCACTTCATATTATATATTTTCAGCAAAGCGTATAACGTAATATAAATACGTATATATATAATGTATTATTTATAATATGTATAATGTGTTCAAAACTATATCTTTTTAGTTTAGAGTTTTTAAAATTTGAACACTGAATCTTAATATAAAATATTTCTTAATAATAAAGATTAAGCAAATGAGCTATAAATGTATAACGTCTTTCCACAAAAATATATTAATCTTAACAGTTAATTTTCATTAAACTAATCTAAAAATACTAGTTTTTTATATCATTATTATATACTTATATCATTTTTCTTTCAATACAGTGATGTATGTAAAAGAACAATTTGTATTCATTTAAATCTGTATTCTATCACGTAAATCTGTCTCAGAAATCGTTTTAAATTTTCGTGCCTACTGTCATTGCTACTTCCCGGCAATTGATTTAACAACCGTTGTCATTAGTAGTTTCGTGACGTACCATCCAAAACCGAATATCACGCAAAACAAATTACTTTAAAGACATTCAGCGGGCAATTAATCAAGCAAGAGAATGGAAAAACGACTAAAATAATCAATTGAATAATGTTTCATCCGTTAATTTATACGGATGGCCGACACTGAATTTCCCACGTTTACGTAACAGAGTAAAAGTTATCAAATAAATGCTGCTAATTGAGGTATGCATTTAATTAACAATTGTCGATTAATAAAGCTAACATCGATAGAAAATTAATTACACTGATTGTGAGTACAGAATAAAACGGAATATTCATAATTAGGTGTATCTTATGATTAAAAGTTTTCGTAAATATTTATTCGAACAATATTGATAATATCAAAATATAAACTTCGTTTCAAAGAGGAACGATATCGTTCAATATCTCACTTTGTTTGCAGGTAAAGCAAGACATAATTCAGGGAACAATAATATCCTGGAGGGAAATCAAGATATGCTAAAGGAACGAGGTATACACATTAAATATCAGAATTTAATTTCAACAAAGCTAATCTTTACTTCACTTTTTTTATTCTTTCTAATATCAAGATTCATTAAATTTAAATATTTTAAAAACACGTTTTGAACAAATTTTTCAGAACGTTTTAAGTTTAATAAAATCGATATGGAAAAAGCAAAAAATATTTTTTTAATTATTTAAAATTTTATTGAAAATATTAAAATATTTTAAAAAAGAATTGACAAATAATCGATGTGCAGTTTGAACTGGAAATATTCACACAAAAATATCATTAAGTTCCAAACTCTGTTTTAAATATAATATCTCCTTTGTTTATTTGTGTATACAAAACATTTTCGTTTTTTATTGCAAAAATAAACTTTTTCTTGTTTTCAAACGCAAATTTCTTGATCGCATTTTGATCATACATATTTCACAATCTCTCGTAGATTTGAAACTACGAGGTCGAAAGGAGAACGGCGGCGACGTAGCGGACTATGATGAATCCAGCGCTACCAGCAACGGTAGCTCGTTGCTGCTGGTGATTCTTGTCGCGCTGTGCCTGTACCTCCATCATCATCCGCAGATGCGAACGTTACATCCGGCCTGAGATTTACCCACGACAGTCCTGCACGCCATCGCACGCGTAATCCGATCATCGAGCCATCATCGTGACTTTGTACATCCACTTGTAAAGCCATCGCTCAGGGACTTCCGTCGAGGATGAATATCGTCGAGGACTGCGTTGACCACTTTAAACTTAACAATAGAATAATAATATTATAAATAGCGTTAGAGTGCGCGACGGGCTCCGGCTGGCACCGTTCGCCAGCGGAGTTTCGCTAAGGGAGGATTACGACTTAAGGGACAGTCATTACGGACAGTTTCGGAACCAGAGTTGGACCGCGCAAATCTACCCCATGCGACCGAAATTACATTATCATGTTGGGGAACGCCGGATTTATTTTAGAGTCCCATTAATAGCATTGCAGATATAACTGAAATATCCATAAATTTCGAGCGTTATCATGACTTTGATAAAGTATTAATTTTTGTTATGTAAGAAAAATACAAATTAAGTTATTTTTGCTCTTAATTCTCCTGTATCTAATTTAACTCTAAATTGAAAAAAAACTTGTTGTCTGTCCATAAGCGATCATTTTATTTCTTTATACTATAGCTAGACGATATTCTATGTAACTAAGACAACGTTGCATGCAGCTAACAAATTCTTTATGAAATAATGTGTGAGCAATATTTTTGAATTAGGTCAAAAAGCACGTATTTTCACTCTGCAAAACTCGATCGATTCTGACAACGAGCAGTAAGCAAAAAGTGTTCTTGTTGAAACAAGATGGACATTTGTGGAAAAACGAGACGACAAAAGATGGACAGTTTGTACTGTTTCGCGTCATTTTTAATTGGCTATCCGGACGGTGTATCCCAACGGTGTATCCCAACGTCGGACGACTATTACGAAGCGACAACCAAACGATGCAACGACGCGACGATGCGGCTACGCCAATTGCTGGGAAAGGCAGTTATTGTCTAGACGCTTATTAGAGGAATTCTATGCTAGAACGGAGCTGTCCAATTCAAGTAAACGATGAACTCTTGGACAGCTTCACATGCTTCATTCACACTCTGCCGATCTTTCTTCTCATAAACTTTTAAAAATATGTTAAGTATATTTCAAAGAATACCATTTGCACGTCGTATGTAAAATTACATTGCAAATAAAGCAAGAAAATCAGTAATGAAAGTAAAGTGAAAAAATGTTAGGGATGCACCAGAGATATCCGGAAAATATAAATATTATTTGCTATCCGGATAGCCGAATATTATCTGATAATATATCCAGCTGAAATTTTTTATTATGTTCACAACAAGGTTTTTATTTATTTGTTATAATTCTCTTTCTTACGAATAATAAGCAACCGTATTAGTAATTTCCTGATTTTATTTCTTTACGACATGAAAGTGAATACTTTTTAATTTGTAATATTACTCCAGTTTCGATTTAGGACTGTGTTTCAGAATCAATAATTGGTGCAGAGTGCTTTGAACTGAAAATTATGTGAATTTACAAGAAATATTATGGGATACAAAGAACTGCCTTGACTAAATGTGGCGTTTCTCACACATATGTGTTTAATTTTATTGTTTGATTTTATTTAATATTATTTAATTAATTTTTTCATTTAATAATGTTTAATACTTTTCAATACTACAAAGACGACAGTATTTTCTTCTAATTCAATATTACTTTAAAAAACGTTTTATTTTTCAATTTTTATTTATTTTTCTATCATAATTCTTTTCGATATGTAAGCTATTCAAGTCACAGCGAGTTTGTACTATTAGCACATCGCAAAATTTAACCATTGAACTCTATATAACATACTGCAGTTATCGAAAAGTGAAGATGTCTCAATTCCTAAACAGGGACACTTTAATGCAAAGTTGATATTGTTTTCTTTCTCAGGAATTCGCTGATTGGCTAAAGCTGTTTTATTATGCTTATATTATTATTTCTATTTTTATTAAATAGAAAAGAGTTAGAAAGATCAATACTGTTTGCTTTTCTTTTTTCCGCCAGACTGCGCAGTTTTCTATAGTTTAGTATAAAGAAGATTCGCTTTAATATATTGTAGAATTCACTGGATTTAACTCTTATTAAATAGATATTTCAAATTGGTCTTCTCAAATAAGATTATTAACTATCTTTTAAAAGCTGTATCGACGCAGTGACATCGATTGGCATTATTGTATATACATGACTTTTCATAACTTCTGACCTGACTTAAGACGATTGCTGTGCATGGAATAACTAATATTAATCTCATAGAATATCCGAGGCGCATTATATTAATAGTCATCGCTTGAATATTTGCACCAAAAATCTCGGCAGACATCTTAAACTGTTCATCATTTTTACCGAGACGGACATTCGCGTTTATAGAAATCTATTCTATAACAAC